GTGTTTGTTCTCAGGACTACAATCGTGGATGATCATTGGCAATCCGCTGAGGTTCAACAAGACCAGGAAAGGGATCCGGATTTGAAGCTTATCATCGATTGGAAGAAGAACGACCGTAAACCAACGTGGCAGGAAGTCGCCCAATATTCGCCGAATGTAAAATCGTACTGGGCCCAATGGAATTCCATCATCTTAAGTGACGGGCTTCTAAAGCGCGTTCTGGAGATGCCAGAAGGGGGGGAAGACCGGAAGCAGATAATAATCCCCAGAAACAGGATACCAGAAGTGCTGCAGGAAATCCATGATGGAACTACTGGAGGACATCTTGGGGTCACCAGGACGCTCGGAAGACTTAGGGAACGGTTTTATTGGGTCAACAGCCAACGAGATGTAAAGGAATGGTGCAAGAAGTGCGCCGTTTGCGCGGCAAGCAATGGACCCCAGCGCCCAAAAGCCCCAATGCGACAGTACAATGTGGGCAGCCCATTTGAAAGAATTGCAATCGACGTGGCGGGTCCATTTCCGGAAACAGAATCTGGAAATAAATACATCATCGTTGTAATGGACTACTTTAGCAAGTGGGCAGAAGCGTACGCCTTGCCAAACCAGGAAGCCGCCACAGTAGCCGATGCCCTTATTAAGGAGTGGATTTGTCGTTTTGGTGTCCCAATGGAAATGCATTCAGACCAAGGCAGGAACTTTGAATCTATATTGTTCCAGAATGTGTGTAAGATTCTTAACATTCGAAAGACGAGGACGACCGCATTACATCCGCAGTCTGATGGAATGGTGGAACGAATGAATCGAACGATAAACAGGTACCTTTCGAAGGTAGTCTCTGATCACCAAAGAGACTGGGACCGCTTCCTCCATCTGTTCCTGTTGGCGTACCGTTCTTCTATCCACGATACAACCGGCCAGACACCCGCTAGCATTGTTATGGGACGTGAACTTCGTCTACCTTGTGACCTGAGGTTTGGTTGCCTACCAGGGGAAGATATTGCTGGAGAAGATTATGTCAGCAATTTACGTAGGAAAATGAGCGACATTCATAGCCGAGTTCGTTTAAACATCCAGAGTGCCAGTGATAGAATGAAAGAGGCATATGACATCAAGGCGGAAAATGGAGGATTTCAACCTGGAGACCTAGTTTGGTTATACAACCCTCAGCGCCGTCGTGGTTATTCACCGAAGCTGCAGACTTCTTGGGAAGGACCATACGAAGTCATGGATCGCATAAATGACATCATCTACAGGATCAGAAAACAACCAAGAGGAAAGCCGAAAGTGATCCATTTTAACCGATTGGCTCCTTACGCTGGAAACAATGATGACCAAATAAACCATGCTAGAGTAAGACGAGTTAATCCTCCGGAAGACGAGTTGCTTTTTGAAGACTTCATGTATTTATATTCGAGCGGTAAAAAAGCTCGCTTTGGTGTCACTCGAGAAGAACAACAAGATCTGTTCACGGTTTCGTCCGATTACTCCTTGGCTCACTGTGTTGCAGAAGACCTAAGAATGTCCAGGGGAATAGCGGTTGTTTTTAAAAACAAGTTTGGACGGATCGACGAGCTACGAAGGCAGAATCCCAAAGTTGGAGAGGTACTTGAAATTGTGGATAATGAGCAGATAGGTAACCGAAGTATCTTCTATCTGGTAACGAAGCAACTCTCCAATCAGAAGCCAAATTACCGTGACGTATGGAATGCCTTAAATAAATTGAGGGATATCCTTTTGTCCAAGGACATCATGAACCCGGCGATACCGAAGATTGCTTGTGGACTTGACGGCTTAGACTGGAGAATAATTAGAAGTATGGTGGAAGTTATCTTCAGATTTAGTGGCATACACATTCTTGTCTGTTGCCACAACCCTAAAAGAACAACCGGAAGGAAGACCGTAGACTGCTACTTCTATAGGACGTCACAATGCAAGTTTGGATCTCTATGCAAATATCGCCATGGAGCTGAGGACCATTTTCGGGACGAAAATGTTTTAAGACGGGGGCAATGTAGCGAGTACCGCCCTGGATATCGGAGTGATGACTCATCGCCGATTAGTCATTGCCGGTGAGTCATCGCCGGTGACTCAGCGCTCGAATAATCGAGAGTGTGGAGCTCGCTGGAATGTTCCAGAAGACCTTGGCGCTGAATATATAAGAAACGGAGCATCACAGAGCAGTCAGTTAAGATTTGGTACTCGCGGCGAAATAAATAAATATAAGTGCAAATAAATAGACTCTTGAACAATAGTGATATATAAATAATTAGTAGTTAAGTGTTTAGTTAGTTTTATAGTGTTTTAAGTGTAGTTAAGTTATTAAATAAATAGTTTAGTTCGTTAATTAACGTGCGTGTTTTAATTCACACTACGAACAGTTAAAAAACGTTACATTATTAATTTTGGGTAATAAGGCCCCCACTATCTTTGCACGCCACTGTATATCAGTATATTTTGCAAACACAAAAAATATAACAAAAACTCGTCCGATAGAGCAAAAACGCTGCGCTCCCATTGGTGGCTTTAAAAATAAAATAACTCCTGCAAGTCGGAAATTTAGCACCAAAATGCATAACTAGTAGTTACAGATAAAAAAAGTCATCCTAAAATTGGTTGATCTGTTGTTTATTTATAACAGCGCGTTTACCGACTCAGCGCGTGAAAATAATATAAATTCCACTGAGCTTATCCACTCTTTAGCTGTTTTTAATATAGTTTTAGATTTTTACTTATATTTATGTTTTTGGGACCTTTAGGCAAATCATTAGTATATAAAATAAATAATAGGTAATAATAATAAACGACTTTATTTGACATACACACTTATATACATACATATCAAAATGTCGAAGTTTGATTATAAAAATCAATCTTACACTTATATCTTACACACTCAAACTCAATAGGACGTGATTTCTTTTGTAGAATATTCGTTTTTCCATTTAGAAATTTGAAGTCTACCCATTGGGTAAGATTTTAATAACTCATAAACTATTCCCTTAAATTCATCCAGTTCTAGTGTAGCTGTCTATCCACCACGGAGCACAGTGTCAAAGGCTTTACTTAAATCGCAACATGCCTTGTCTACTTTTTGTTTGTGTCTAATAGGTTACCTTTGACTACGATTGAATAACTGATATAGGTTTAATTGCAAAGCCTTTTTTTATAAATAGGAACAATTTTTGCAATTTTTAGCTCATAGGGAAATGTGCCATTTGTTTGCACTTTATTAAATATTATTGGAATTGGTCCTAAAATATCTAAGGTTTATTTTGATTTAGGGTTCATAATTATACTTAATATTTTTTTCAGTAACTTTTTCGAAAAAACATCAAGTTTGGCTTAAGTTGTTATGACTTTTAAAAATTCTTTTACTTGTTTAACTTTTACATCATAAGGTTTTTCCGGGTTTTTTCAATGGTTTTAAAAAATATAATAAAATCTTCAGTTATTAAAGTGGATTCTTGAGAACTTAAATTTTTGTTTTTGTTTGTTTCACGATTGATTACTTCCCATATAGCCTTATTCGGATTGGACAAGTTTTATAAATAATTAGTGGAGATGGGATTTTAGTGTTATTACTAGGGATGGGATTTTAGTTATTTTACTTTTTTTTAACCGATGTAACTATTTGAAAACCAATAATGCCAAAATGTGTTTTAAAAGATTTTCTTTTATATGAACCTAACTTGTTTTTGCTTTAAACTACCTTTTTTATACTTTTGTTGCCTATTTATTTAACTTGTTTTCACCTTTTTATCATTTTTGGAGCTTTAAACTACCTTTTTATACTTATCAGTTAGTCAGTTTATTTTCACCCATTTGTTACCTATTTTTACGTATTTTATACTTATTTTATTTTTTTGTGTTTTTTTTTTTTATTTTTCTCCAATATTTTATCCAGGCGTGCAACTCATCGGTATAGAATTTTTTCTTATGGTCACAGACTGTAACAGTAACTTTCTTTACAGTTACCTTCTTTGTAGTGAGCTTATGTTCTGTCATAGAACTTCTTTGTAATAAGTGTCACTCAGTGAAACATAGTTTATTGCATAGAAATATTTTATTGTGGGTATGTTCTGTATTTGGTTATGCGGCTAAACAAAATTATGAACAAAACTTTTAATGTTTTTTTTACCTTAAATGTTGTTTTTTTTTTACCTAAAATGCTGTTTTTTTTACCTAAAGTGCTTTTTTAGTACCTTTTTAGTTACCTATTTTTCAGTTTTTAGTACCTAAATATCCCATCTCTTGTTATTAACTATTTGTCATAACTTTAGGTACAATGGAATAAAATCCGTTTTAAAGAAAATAATTTTATTTGAGCCTGATTTTATTTTACCTATTTCACCTAAATTATTATTTTTAACAGAAATGAACGAAAGTTTTAAATGTTACCATCAAAAACATGCTATTTTGTAATATTAGGGTTGTCGTATTTGGATGACATAATTCTTATGCACTATGTAGTTATTTTTGTTGTGCAGAATTGTTAAACAACCACTCCCAACCTACCCATGGTTGGGAGTGCTTGGTACTGGGAATCGCGAACAGCGAAGCGAATGTAACATTCCTGTACAATGTTGCCAGGTCTTTTGCTTTTGCATGAGATCTTAAGTTTTTCAAATCTATCCCATGTTATCACGTTTTATTTAAAAATCTAACGTTTTTTCACAAATTCCAGCGAATTTGTGCTTTTTTATTAGAAAGTAATTTTAAAAACATATGCTTATTAACAAAAACATTTTGAATGTGACACGGCATCAAAAAATTATAAAATGTATGATGGTATAATAATATTTTTAGAAGATATATTCGTCAGTTATTTTAAAAATTTTAAAATCATAAAAATCTTATTTGCTTAAGGTATATACCTAATTTAAGAATTTTACAAATTTTAGAATCATACCTAGCCTGAATCAAAATCTCTTGTAAAATTCTATTTTAATAAATGAATGGATGGATTAAGTATTTTCGCAACAAAAAATTAAAAGTAGTTAATATTATAATATTTTATTTAACAAATCCCAAAATTATAAATTTCATGTAACTCATAATGAATTAAAAACAGTTTATTTGTATAAATACAAATTTGTACTTGTACTTGGTACTTCAAAATTGAAAATATTTTAGGAAAGTGTAACTTTACGTCCATTTAATGATTGTACAGGTCTGTACGTTGATTCTAATTTTTCTTCATCTTCACCTCGAATTTGCTTTAAAGCGTAAAGCTGAAACAAAAGTAGACCTATTAACGACGAAACCAAAATCATAAATTGAAAGAATTTCTCTTTAGAGTAACATACAGGGAGATCATAAAAAAATATAACATTTAACATGTTTGTCAGATGCATTTTATAAAAAATAAAATTTATTTTTATTTTTCTACAGGGTGATCCCCTATAATGTCGCCCTCCTTTAACTTTTTTATATTAAGTGTCCCAAAAAATTTAAAAGTGTGGTTATGTACGTACTAAAAAATACTTTTTTTCTACGTATAAAGAAAATTGGAAAATTGATCAGTATACAGGAAAAAACAAAAAGTTTATTATTTTTCAAAGGATCACCCTATATATAAATTTATTTTTCGATTCCTTGTAAAATTCTGAGCATTTTTAAAACTGTTAGAAATCAAGAAGCTTCAGTATACCAAAATTTTTATTGAAAATAAATTATTATAGTGACATTATGTCAATATATCTTGTTAAATAAGTAAAAATTGCCTACTCAGACAGAGAAAGACAAACTATTTTAACTTATTATCTTAAAAATAATTTAAATATTTCGGAAACGGTTGAATTTAGGTATATGGTATGTTATATGAAATATGCTTAGAATTTTACAAGGAATTGAAAAATAAATACATATATAGGGTGATCCATTGAAAAAAAATAAACTTTTTGTTTTCCCTGTTTACTGATCAATTTTACAATTTTCTTTATAGTAAAAAAAAAGCATTTTTTAGAACCTACATAACCACACTTTGAAATTTTTTCGGACACTTAAAATAAAAAAGTTAAAGGGGGCGACATTATAGGGGATCACCCTGTACCTACCCTGATTATATTACATATGTATGTAGTATGCCTATTTATTTTAGCAATTTACAAGAACACAATTGTTAACAAATGCACGCGAAGAGCACGTGGACAATACACATGCTAATTGGCTAATCGGCGATAATTCGAAAGTTTTTATCGCCGATGTTGTTTATTTTTGGGAATTGGTAAAATGACTAAGCAAGAGTCATTTATTTTTAATCACCCTGTATAATAAGCAGGGTGTTCCGAAAATGGTGCACCAACGCGTTAGTGGATGTGTGCCACACTGTAGGGAAGGATATTTTAACAGGTTGACTGTACCCTGGGCAATCATAGCTTTAATTTTTATCATTAAATTAACTTTAATTGGATCCACAGGTAAGTAAAGGCTTATATTTTTAGTTGTTAATTGTACTTTTTCGATATGTTAAAGCATTTATTTTTTTACGTATTATGGCGTAGGTCTTTATATTTGGAGTACTATAAATAATGCAAATTTGAAATATTCCAAATTATATTCATTTTTTGAATTTGATAATCAACCCAATTTTCTCTTTTAATTAATATTTGGTTACATTTTTAAAATGTTTCATTAACCTTTTTAATAAAAAACATTTCCTGCTATTTTTAAATATTCCAAATTGGTGGTATTCCAAATTAACTTCATGTTACGTAAACAGAGATTTTTTACACTTTTTTTCATTGGTGAAAAAATCCTTTTAAAGTATTTTAAATAGTTTAAAATTTTAAATAGTTTAAAATTTTCTTATGGCATAGTACTCTATCTACTAAAAAAATAACCTAACAACAATTTTTTTAGAAAAATTTTACTTAAAATATTGAAAAACCTAAAAATATATTTTTATTTATGAAATTTTATAACCCCCAGGAGCAAATCCTGTGCACTGCCCTGAACTGTACCATTATGGTACACGCATAGCCTACGTCTATTTCGCAGCAAAAAATAGAAATGTAAAAGCAATAAGATAATTTTAAATAATATACATGAATTACTTATGAGCGGATAAGCTTTGTGTTGGATGAATATTTTTATTATGCTTTCTTTTTCTATACTAGAAAATATTACTTTAGATTCATTTTCATATTTTAATTTCAACCTAAACATCAATTTAACTATTCTTTAATTTAATCTCGTAATAGGTACTTGGTTGATACTGATAGACGTTTTATTTTATTGAAAAGCTTGGTACAAATTTTAAATATCAAACTTGAGTATTGATATTTAAATAAAGTTAATTATATTGAATTTTAATTAATACCTCGGTTAATACGTTCGATACGCAGAACCAAACATTTAAAAACCGGTTGGTTTTATAACTTTTAAGCAAAACGACCTTTTTTGTGTAAAATTTTAAGAAATTGAACCAAAATACCCAATAACGTAACTCAAAAAAATAAAGGATTCCAAGCCCCCTGTTTGCCCCCCCTAATAATATGTTAATATCGGGTAACAAACAGAAAAGTTTAATTTGTTAACTGTAGGGTGTGTTCCAAAATTTATTAATTTGCCTTAAAGTACACCTGACTAAGGTAACCTATGATAAAAAAAGTAAACATTTATAAATTTTGAGTGCCATTAAAGGGGCGTAGCTCCCTTATAAAGCATTTTTTACCCTATGTTCTCAGGAACTTTTTTTTCCAATTCTTGCTGTAAATTTACACTTTTAAATTTTTGGATGGAATCCGGAGAAACCCTATATAAGTCTCGTCTGAAATTTTTTTATGTAGGTACCTAAGCGTGGTGCGCCGTTTTCGGAACACACTGTATATTAATAACTTTTTGTTAGTTTTATTGTTTTGCCTACTTAATATTTACCACCCTGTAGGTGCATACCTGGTTTGGTGGTATACAAATAGTGTCCCTAAACACAGTCCAAATAATTCCTTCGTTGCAATCTGGTGTTGTAAGTGATCCGGAATACCTGAAAAACCTGCAGGTGTTGTATGGGAGAAAATTGTTGACCAGAATTTTCTGTTTTAATTGCGCGATGGTGCCGATTCCTTCTATTTCTGACATTTGGTTTTCAATCACATCCCATGCGCTATTGCAATCATAACAAGCACATTCAGGAGATGACTAAAAAATATTTTTTAAGTTTAGGTATCCTGGACTGAAATATCACTGGTCAACACTATTTTTGAGAACAAGTTCATGTTTTTTTATTTTGAAAAATATTTTTCTAAAAACATTTTTGTTGACCAGTGTAATTTATTTAATATTGGACTTTATGCACAATGCATAGTTACGATTCGTTGGCAATATACATTTTATTAACAATAAGCAACACTTTGAAAAATCAGTCAATTTTAATTATAAAAGAATTCATCCAAAATAAATATAAGGTGCTCTTAAATCCACTCACTTTAAAAACATGTTTTCTAAGTGCGTGAAGAAAACGTAAATATGTTTTTCATATCGCGTTTTTGATACTGATAACACTGGCCTAAGATCTTTTGGAACAAATGCTGAATTTGAATCTGTAGTCAGTTTTTCCAGTTCAGTTCAGATATTAGACCACTGCATTTATACTTTTAAATAAATAATTTTGCAAATCATAAAGATTGAACTATTTATAATGTCTTTATTTTAATTTCGCTTAGATAATAAATGGACCTTATAAAAAATAACAAATAATCTTTTCAGAGATTTAAAACAAACAAATCTTAACTATTCTTTGTGTATACAGGTATTAGTATATTACCTCCACTAAAACGCCTAATACCGCTACACCTTTATTGGCTACAGCTTCTTGCAAATTTGGATATTGCGCGTCGTATAATACTAAATGAATTTCCAGTGGAAATCTAAAATATTTTTTAATTGTTTTTTAAACTTTATAAAAACAATAGGTTAATGAAATTTTATGTTACATAAATAAATAATTATATTTTAGGAATGTTTTTGTTTTAAAATATTTTTAAAAATAGAATCATTAAACAATTAAATAATAAATAATTAAATAAAACACATTTATATGTAAAAGTCATTGATTAAATATATTTATCTACTCCTATTGCATAATAGTGTTTTTTTTTCATGAATAATGATAAACATAAATTTCCTGCCTTACAACGGAAATAATGTACTCATTATTCACGTTGTTAGGCATCAGTGATGGGCCGATTTTAATATTCACTGTGATTTCAACCAATCGGGTTTTAAGTTAGGAAAAGGCGACTATAATTACATTTAAAATTGGAAAAAAGCGAGGTTAACAATTTGACAGATGTCAGATTTTATTTATTTATTTTTGAAAATCATTGGAGTAGATAAAGTATAATAATACAATCGAGATTATGCGCATTTTTCATTCGGATGATTTAAGTCTCTTGTCAGTGACTCGAGACTCAAAGCTAATCGTCGTGAATAATAGTCTGCTTTATCTTTCGCATAACAATATACTATTGTATTAAATGTATTTAAAAAAAAATACATTTAATACAATTTTTTTTTATAAAGGTGGCCTTTTAAAATTAATAATAGATTAAGCTCTTTAAAATAGAACGGTTATTGCTGTAACTGAGTTACAGCAGTTACAAGCAGTTACAAAACAAATTGATAAATAAAAATCATTTACATATAAAAAATATAAATCAACATAACATTATTTTAATACACAAGAAAAAAGCAATACAAGCGCTTCAAAATTTTTTTTTGATACAAATTATCTTTTATCAAAACTTTTTTTTATCATATTAAAATTTTCTTTTTGCCCTTGTTCATTATTATTTTCCTGTTCAAGCTAGGTCACGCTTTTCACATAACAAAATGATAAAAATAATAGAATGAAGCTTATGTTCGGTCATCTTCAATTAGGTTTTTTTTCTTTGATAATTATAATTGTTCAGAAACAGGAAGGCAAAAAAATATGTTGATGCGATTTTAAAATAGTTGACTTGATACAGTTTGGCTCTGGGGTTTAGATATGAATTAATTAAGTGACTTAATTTAACCCGTAACCGGTACTGTGGTGTCTGGGAGACACTCATCAACGAACAAAGCCCTGTCCCACCCTCACCTTTTATTTTAAAAATCTGTCGCTTCCAATACTTTTAAGTTGAGCAGTTATCAATATGCTCTCAGACTTTGAACAAGTTGGATTGTCAAACGGACAAATTATTACAAGTCAAAATGTTGAGGTGTCTAGTAGACCACTGCGTACCGTTTACGTAATTTTTATAAAACAATTAATTCGTTATGGATTCGCAGCAAGGGCCTTCTAAAAGTGTCCAAAGTGATAAGAAAGGCTTTAAGGAAACTGTAATGTAGCGGTTTTATGAAATCTACAGCGATAAAAGTGATATAGATGACTGTAGTATACTACATAACCATTATAGTGATTATGTCGTTGAAGATAATCACAGCAGCGATTCAGGACTTGTCTGTGAAGAGTCTATAAAAAATAATTTTATAGGGTCAGATAGTGAAGAATTTGAAATTTTTTAAGAATTTGAAAAAAAAATAAAAAAGTTACCATGGAAAAAATAATTGTAAAAATTAGCTATAGTTTGAAGCAGTTATTTTTGCCATTAAAAAAAGATATTTTTAAATTGTTTTTGTTTATGTTATTTTTTAAGGTATATTCTTCGAAATAAAGATTGTTTTATTTTGTTTGGTTTAATATTTTTTATAGTTTAATCACGAAGTTTGCACTACTGCACTTTTTGTACATGTTTTGATTAAAACCTATTTGCTTAAATTTTTCTTTTATTCAGGTATTATTTTTGGTGATATTCTAACTTTATATATATTTCCTAGTATCCCCAAAGCCTCAGATAAAAAAAATAATATAAATTATAATTATAAAAGGCAGGTGTCTCTCAGACCCCTTAGTACCGTTTATGACCTGAAAGTCGTACAGTACCGGTTACGGGTTAATAAAATTGTCAGACCACTGCAGTGCACTGGTGTGGGACCAGTAGGGCTTACTAGTAATTGGCAATATTCTTATTTAAAAGTACCATTTAAAATTAAATAAAATAAAGTTGTTAGTAATACTTGATTAACATTGACATTAATTATTTAATATATACATTAGGTACCAATATATTTTGTAGATAAAATTGAGTTGGGTTGAAAATGTTCAGAGCCCATAGGTATGGGCTCTTATGTATTGCTTATCTTAGAAAATAAAAGCCTACCTATAATGGTTAACTGTGTGTTCAGATCTCCAATGGAAATGAATATTATCAAGTTGATATTTTAGTGCTGGCAGTCCTCCACCATACGCTGTTATCGTCTCAGGATTTAAAAATGTTATGTTTACTAAAAAGAAAATTATACAAAATATAAATAGTAAATTATGTCATAAGGAGTAGAAGTGGCTCTTTTTGTGGTGAGTACAGAGATTGACGGCCGAAGCGTAGCTGAGGCAGGCAACTGTACGAAGCACAAAAAGGGCTTCTACTCCAAATAACATATAGAATTTTTTTTTCAAGGGCGTAATATAAATAGGATATGCAATAGAATTATTTTATTTACTTATAACTCATGTGGTATAAAATTTTGGCTAAAAGCATTACAAATTATTGATAAAAAGTAAAAAAACTTATAACCCTTACTTACAATGCCGATACATATTCTAAACTAAAAATAAACAGTGCTCTGTCAAAATGCTGCGCTTGAATTAATTTTGACGTACTGACATTTGTTTGGAGTTCCGACATTGGCGACTCGTCTATCATCATTATATTATACTAATAAACTAGTTGTTCTTTATTTCGTTCAATTAAAATTTAAAAAATAATCACTAAATATTCCGTGCGATTATAATTAATATAATTAATACATCGTGATTGCTTTGTATGAAATGCTAAATTAATTTTATTATTTGACGTCTATTGAGTCACCTATAGATTTACTTCTATCCCTAGGCTTTTTTGAGTTTTGAGTTGTCTGCCGCTAATGAAAAAGACGTAGGTACTTCAACTATCTCTATACATGCATATAAGGTTGTATATCATGGCCGCTTGAAAAAAAAAAATATATTTTATATTATTATTTTTGAGTTTTTATAGTTTTTATAGTCACGTTATAATGCTAGACATAGCAACCGCGACCTCCTAAATCATAAAAGCCAGAACCCACAAATAATTGCTCATATATCTATAGGGTGCAAATAAAATATAGCGTAACAACTAAAGTGAGTAGAGACAGTAATCCCAAATGTTTGGAGTAATACTAACTGCCTGGTCTAGGGGGATGCCGCGACGTACTTAGATTTAAGTCGGCGTAATTGTTCCCCAAAATGTCTATCCCTCCCGTCCTACCTCTTTCATAACCCTACTTGGCGTATAGCAACGGCCCGGCGAATCCAGAAAAGGCTATTTAAACAATTGGCCTTTCGCTCTCGAGCCCTAAATATGGGACAGTACGGGACGCAATGGACATTCTCACTCAGCAAACACGGGTGAAGCCCTGCCGTTGCTGGTGGCGACAGAAAATCGGAGTAAGGAAATAGAGGCCTGTGCGGGGCCCGGGAGCGATAGGGCAATGGGGCCAGTTATACGTCTCTTATTCTCATATACTCATACTCATACTTATTTTTGAGTTTTTAAAGACTTTTCAATGATATTGTCTCCAACAAATGTAATGCATTTTTACAGATATCCTTTTAAAGAAGCCACCATAATTTGTTTGTGTTACAACATTATCTTGGTATCCTTAAGTTTTGCCAATGTTCTAGGAACAATTGTAATGTACACTTAGAGAAAAGTCCCCCCGTTATTTGAACGAAAAAAAGGTATAGACATGTGACGAAAACCAGTGTCCAGGATATTAAGTAGACTACTTTTTGATATGTGCCTATTTAAACAGTGCCAGGAGGGCAGTATCAACTTAAAATTTTAAATGAAATGGGGGGCTTTGATACCTCATTTGTTATTTCGATTCTCTATTCGATGCTATTTAAAAATTCGTTTTACGGTTGCTAAGTAATTAAGCGTTTCAGTTTTTCAAACTAATAAAATTTCTTGCCGCCCTAGGCTACGTATGTTGCCTGTTCGGTACAAATCTGTCTCACCATTTATTTATTTTTTACACTTTTTTGTTCTTGTTTTTTTGTTTTGTAAAAAAACGTACACTTAATATTAATAATAATAATAATAATAATAATAATAATAATAATAATAATAATAATACCTTTATTTCTGAGGACACATAGATACATGTATAGAAAACGTCAAAAACCTAATTATAGTAAGTATACAAAATGAAACAAAATAAATGAATACAATGACCACACAATCAACAATACAATCTAATTATTAAAAACACATTAAAAGCTTGAACAAGTTAGACAGAAAACTATTCATTTAATGTATAAAAACACTTATCGAATAAAAATTTCTTTAGCTGTTTTTTAAAACTAAAGAGCAAATTAACATTTTTGATGTCTATTGGTAATTTGTTAAAAATATTAAGACCAATATGATTGGGGGAATTTTTTCCTTTCTTAAGCCTAGAAAAAGGCACCCTAAAATCACATTTTTGCCTTGTGTTTATTGGATGTACATCCTGATTTTTTATAAAAGTATTCTTATCAACAAATACATACACACCCATTTCATAAATAAATAAACAAGGTAAAGTTAAAATTTTGTAATCTTTAAACAAGTCACGACAGGAATAATCACAAGGAACTCCAGCTATACACCGAATCACTCTCTTCTGAGAAACAAAAACATAAGGTTGAGTTACCCCAAAAACAAATAGCATATCTTAGTTGAGACTCAAATTGTGCATGATAAAACATTAAAATCTGATTTAAGTTTAGCAATTTCTTTAAATTTCTAAAAAGGAAAATTAAGTTAAGTTTGAAGATGAGACTCTCTCAGTGTGGTTTCCAATTAAGTTCTTCATCAATAATTACCCCAAGAAACTTCGTGCTTTTCTTTTTATCGATGAATGTTCCATCAATTGAAATATTTAAATTTAGGTCACGAACATTTTTTTGATGGTTATGGTTATAGAAACGAATAAAATTGGTTTTATCCTTATTTAAACAGAGATTATTAATATTAAACCATGACAACAAGTTATCAAGATTGCCACTGCATTTTTCTTCCAAAATTTGGGTATCATTGTAAGTGATTATTAGAGAGGTGTCATCCGCATATAAAGTTGCCACCGTGTCAGGTAGTAAACAAGAGTCCAAGTCATTAACGTATAGGTTAAAAAGCACAGGACCCAATACTTAACCCTGAGGTACACCCATGTCAACAACCTGTATCTCAGAGTTTACACATGTGACCATATTGACATATCTATATGTCGTATAGAAACATATTGTCTGCGATTTTTTAAGGCGGTTTATAAAATAAATGTACTCTTTAGTGTAAGGCCTGCAATTTTACTTTTTATTTAGTTGGAAAATGATTCGCGTTCGCCTGTTGGAAGAAAAAACGGAAGCAATTTAGTTTATGCTTAAGTTGGACGTAATTTGCACCAAGCAGTGAGAGTATTTAACAAAAGGTACCAAGACAACCCTATTTGCAAAAAATATCTACAGGAGTTAGTGACTAAATTGTAAACACTTCCGTGAGTAGGCAGAAAGGATCGGGTAGAAAATCAATCTCAGAAGACAAACAAATTTCTATTTCTATAGTCGGTTCCGTCGACAATCGACGGCGGCAGTTGCAGGGAATTGTAATATAGTAAAATCAATAGTTAAAAAATATTTAAAACATAATAAGATGTTAAACCACAAGTTTTTCCAAAAAAGTCAATCTATGGGCGGGACAATATTGTAGGACCCTTGTTTTTCGAAGGAAATTCAACTGCCATCTTGTAAACATGCTTCAAACACAAATTCATCCAATGATTCAAGATGTAGTTCAAGCTAATCCTGAAGAATTTGACATGGAAGTAATATTCCAAGATGTAGATCCCGCACATTATTTTAGGAATGTTAGACAGTGGCTTGATAAGACGTGGTCCTACCGAATAACCGGATCGGTCTCTCTGATTTAACGCCACTTGATTTTTTTGTGGGGTTATTAAAATCTAAGGTCTACATCTCCGAACTGGAATCAATTGATGATCTTAAACAACGGATTAGACTTGAATGTGCAAATATATATTACACAAGAAAAGTTTGCAAATGTGAGAACTAAAATTATTTTATGTCAAACTGTCCAAATTTATTGTGCTTAATAAATGAAAACATTGTGTAAAAGTTTACATAGTATATATATATAATGAATGAAAACAAAAATTTGATTTGATAAATTATTTTATTTAAAAGCTTAATATCTTAGCAACCATTGAACAGATTTTAGATAGGAGTTGAATAGAGAATCAAAATACCTATCAAATGAGATATCACAAGCTCCCCCCTTTCCAATCAAATTTTTAATTTGATACCAGTTGCCCTATTGGCACTCCTTAAATAGGTACCTATGAATTTATTGTCAAAAAGTAGTATACGTACTTAATATACTTGACAATGTCCATTAATTACATAAATTAATTATAATGTACCCGAGGGGTAAACCACTGATTTTACCACCGATTAAAAATGGCATATGAAGGAAACAATCACAAGAGTAGTCATGGGCAACGTGTCGCTAAGAGAAATTTCTTATTGATAAGGATTTTTCCTTATTGATAACGACTGATTAGGAAAAATCAGAACCCAACGTCCACATAACGTTGAACGTCGGTCTCGCTGATTTTAAAGTGGTTTACCCCTTGAATGTACTTACTTATAAAAGAATTCATTTTATTTTGAAAAGGTTATAATAATATTTCTTAAATTTATTTTGTTGATAGAAGATAGGAGGTGACAATCGATTTGGTTAAACTTAAGTTATATCATAATTTCCTTAACTTCATATTGAAAATGACGTTCAAAACTTAAAATGTCCCCTTCTGTCTGTGTCCCAAATAACATTGAAAACTTTATGTAAAAATGTTATCATTGTCATTAATAATATTTTTTTTGTTTTTTTTTGTCAAAATAAAAGTAAAATCTTAAATCCTTTCTATTAAAATTAAAGCTGTCTCCAATATTTTATATCCCTTCTCTCTGCCTTTTTAGTCATATGCATATGGCGCGTGATGAATGCAATCATTTCCAGTATGGAAATTTGTCAAATTAGTAGTTCGTTGTATACATATTGTATATATATATTATAATTAGGGATGGGATTTTAGTTATTTTACCTTTTTTCAACCGATGTAACTATTTGAAAACCAATAATGCCAAAATGTGTTTTAAAAGATTTTCTTTTATATGAACCAAACCTTTTTTGGAGGTTTTTGCTTTAAAATACCTTTTTTATACTTTTGTTACCTATTTTTTTACTTGTTTTCACCTTTTTTTACCTTTTTTGGAGGTTTTTGCTTTAAACTACCTTTTTATACTTTTGTTACATATTTTTTAATTTGTCAGTTTATTTTCACCCATTTGTTACCTATTATTACGTATTTTTACTTATTTTATTTTTTGTGTTCTTTTTAAATTTTGCCCCAATATTTTATCCAGGGCGGGCAACTTAACGGTATAAAATTTTTTCTTATGGTCACAGACTGTAACAGTAACTTTCTTTATAGTTACCTTCTTTGTAGTGAGCTTATGTTCTGTCATAGAACTTCTGTGTAGTGAGTGTCACTCAGTGAAACACAGTTTCATAATTTATTGTGGGTATGTTCTGTATTTGGGTATGCGGCTAAACAAAATTATAAACGAAACGTGAACTAATGTTTTTTTTTACCTAAAATGCTGTTTTTTTAACCTAAATGCTGTTTTTTTAACCTAAAATGCTTTTTTAGTACCTTTTTAGTTGCCTATTTTTCAGTTTTTAGTACCTAAATATCCCAGCTTTAATTATAATATTGTTTAAAACGATTAGGTACTTTTCTATAAAAAATAAGCTGTTTTTTAAAAATGTCTAGAAAATCTTAAAATGTATGTAAATTTTATAATTTGTCTTTCTGGTAAATGTTGTAATTATATTACTAAAAAAATACAATTTGTACTATAGTACAAATTTATTAGTTCATAATTTTTTTGACAAGCAGAAGGGACATATTTTTATTTAGCTTTTTTTTTGTTTTTCCAAGATCCATTTTAAGCATAGTATTTAAAAATATAAGGCTCAAATAGTATATTATTTTGCCTTTTTTGATTTTTCTTTATCCATTTGAAGCATAGTTTTTAAAAAATATAAGGTTAAAATAGAACAAACAAACAAAATTAGTTCTTTTTTTGATAAAAGTAAGAACAGACAGAAAGGACAAATTTTTTAAATATAGAAGACGATCAACTCTATAGAGCTATAGGTTAATTACTCATTTAACTAATGAATAACTATACTATAGAGAGAGTCGGAATAGTTAAAAAATGCAAATTTAATATACCCGTGTGACCATTATTTCCAATTGTGGCAGATTGATAAGTATTAAAGTTTTTGCCTTGGAAATCAGGATAAAACTTTTTCATTATTATGCTTGTGTCAATGTCAATTGGACTTTGAAACTTCCCTGTTTGGCATTGTCCAGGCCAGTTTTCTAAAAAAAAGTACAATTTAATCGTGTTATGGTTACAAAGATTCTCAATAATCATACCTATATCGTCATAGGACCAATGACCTGAAATTTATAATAGGAATATAATGTACTATATATTATATTCTATAGAGTTATTGCTAATATTCGTAAAAATGGTTTTCACTATAGGTACTTTTCTAAAAATTGAAATTCTTAATTATTAATAAAAATAAAAGTCTAACTAAGAAGCTATAAAAAATTGAATTGTGTCACATTTACTTTATTATTATTTAAAAAAAGTATAATAATAAATATTTTCAAGCGGTCTATGCAATTCGGCCAAGAAGGTCTTTTTGCACTTCCCTCAATTTAAACTTTGACCTCAGCACAAAAAGACTTACTTCTTTGCCTAATGACATTAATAATTATTATTATTGCACGTCTGTAAAAGCATAGGAAATGCTTTTACAATTGTACGATTTTAGTGTAAGGCGGTTTAAAAATAATCGAAACAAATGAATAAAATACGCTACAGAAGCATCGGGTTTTAGCACACGAACTGCACATAATTTTTAAATAAATAAGTCGTTTTTCCACAAAAGAAAGAAAGGCAGAAGTCTTACTCGACAAATTTTGTTCGCCTAGTTTCAATTGCACAGCTAAATCGCGCACGTTATTTGTGCTTTGCGTTACAAGTAAAAACTGCAAAAATTTGGTTTAATACTCGATTTCGATTTATTATTCCTTAGTTACGTTAGTGTGTGTACATTTTATGTAAGTGATCATGATGAATGTTTTTAATTGTAAATGTAATTTAACAACTAAATCGTTACATTTTCATGTTTTGCCAAAGGATCCAATACGGTACCTATATTTGTTGGTGGAGAATTGAGTAACTTTACCTTATATAATTTATATTTAAGTTTATACATTTTTAAAAAATCTAATAAAAAATAATAGTTGTATAAAAATAATAGTTGTATAAACATAACCTTAAAATCAAATATTTTTATATTCTGGTCCTCCAAAAAAACGCCGACAACTGCATTTTAAAATAGTAAATGAAAAAATATATCTAGTCTATCTACTACATATTCATGGCAACATAATAATATACATAATAAAATACCCGTTTTTGTTTTTTACCGATGACTGAAGACTTTCTTTATCAACTCTATTAATAACGCTGTTTGTATATAGAAAACTTTTTTGTTTTATGATTTTTACTAAATTGATATGTTTACAATTTTTATAAAAATACTAAAATGTTTATTTATTGTATCTAATAGTTGCGATTTATATTTACAGGGACTGCATGCAATTTAATATTAAATTAAAATGGTTTGGTTACGACGATTACGGCCACGTGGTGGCGATGCTTCCTTAGCGTGTACACTATTTTAAGCATATTTAGGTGAAAAATTACATTTCTTCGCACCTAAATATGTTTAAAATAACCTTTCACTAAAATATAAAATATAAAATTTACAAAGTACCTAGTCGAATTTATTTATTATTTATGTATGTTTTTGGGTTGTGTTGGATTGGATTGGTGGGGTTTTGTTTTTTTTATAAATTTTTCTTTAAACTGTTTTTGATATAAAATAAAATAAATCTAGAAAACGAATCCAATAAACTGAAACACACAATTTTAAATATGACATTGTAAACTCGAGTTCTCTAATAAACACTGAACGTCTAGCTTGGAATACAGATGTTTAGCCTTAATATATCTGTGGTCAGTATTTAAAAAAAACCCGAAGTCCGTATATTTTACAGTTTGTGAGGTAGTAAAACAAAAAAGACCTAATTGGAAATCTAGAAATTTCGAAAAAGACCAATTCTCAGATATAAAAAACTAGATTTTTTCCCATGATAGTTTAAATAGTATTAATGAAAGTGCAAGTATACAAAACTTATAGTGATGAGTGATTTTTCTCTCATGTTTAAACATGAGAAAAAAATTAAATATGTTAAATTAAGTTAGGTACCTAATGTCAATTATACTGAGTGACAGATTTCTAACCTTAATTATACTAATATTGACAGATACCTAACCTGAATTCTACTGAGAGGGACAGATACCTAACCTCAACCCTCTATAATTACTATAGTTACAACCAAGGTTACTATAGTTAATAAAGACTATAGTCTATTGTTACAAGTTGAGCTGCAAGCTATCAGAAAACTTAAATCGTTTTTTTGATTTAAATCGTTTTAATGACTTAAGTCATTTGGTAATAAGTCATTTCTCTAAAACTGACTTAAGACTTAAAATTTAAGTAATTTTCAAAATGATTTATGACTTAAATATTTTTTTCAAAATAGTAAAAACTTAAGTCATTAATAAAAGGGTTAAATCAGTACATACGATTTAAGTCAGATAAAAACGATTTAAGTCAAAAAAAGATTTAAGTCTTTTTGAAAAAGATTTAAGTCTTTTTAGAAAATATTTAAGTCAGATTTTTCATAGATTTTTTTATAAACTGCGGCAGCAGATCAAAAACTTTAATTTCGTACCTACACTTGCTACCGCTAGTGGATAAAAAAAACCGCCGCGGTAAAATTAGCTTTTCGGAACCGTTTGACGGCTACATTAAAAAATGCTCTGTCTAAATTGAATTAAAAAAAGTGGGGATTTATAATTTTGTTATTTTGTTTACCAACATTCGTCGTGTTCGTGCGAAGTTATAACTTCTAATAATAATAATAATAATAATAAGGTCTAATTTGTGATTATTAGTGCAAAGTGGAAACAAACGATTAACTTGTAAGGACGAATAAATATTATAAAGACGTGTTTACATCATACAGGGTGTTTCGGTTTGTTTAAGTAAATAATTACGACAAAAAAACGTGATTGTGCGTGAATAAAATTATTCAAACGTGATTGTGCGTGAACGTGAGTAGTCTTGAATTATTACAGTCGTGAGCAGTTGTACATCTTGAGCGGTCGTGAATCCAGACTTTGGAACTTCCCATCATTACTCCCTTAAGGAAGGAATATTTATTTTTAGATGAATGTTGAACCAGCTAACAAAAGTTAACAAAACAACAAGTTATCAGTTTTTGAAATACAGCGATTTTAAGAAAAATGCTTCAACTTTAGTCTATTTTAACAGAGTTTGAATCTATTACCGTTTAGAAGTTACCCATTTATATACAGTATGTCTCAGTATCTTGGAATCATATGGAAAACTTTTTTATTATTAATTTTAGGAAAAAAAGTTATTCTTCATAAAAAGTTCTGCATGGTGTAAAACTTAAAATGCAGCCCTCAAATATTAATTTTTTTTAGTCGTATACGGGATGTCAAAAAATATGAATTTGGCGCAAGAGTAAAGTACCTTTATATTTGACAATATCGAAAATTGTTATAAAGAAAAGTTAATCAGAACTAAAAACTACGTTTAAATATGCAATTTCATACACTTACATTAAAAAATTAGGTTTTGTAAATTTTTACTAATCTTTCTATTTTAAATGAACATTTATCTGTTATGATTAGAAAAAGTTAAGCCAAAAAGTATTAGAATATAAACAAATCATTTGTTTATCAGTGCATCCTAGATTACATGTTACAGTTAAATTTGCATTGATATTGTAGACAAAAAAGAAAAAATATTTTTTTTAATGTAAATGGATGTAATTGCATATTTAAACGTAGTTTTTAGTTCTGATTAACTTTTCTTTATAACAATTTTCGATATTGTCAAATATAAAGGTACTTTACTCTTGAGCCAAATTCATATTTTTTGACATACCCCTTATACGACTAAAAAAAATTAATATTTGTGGGTTGCATTTTAAGTTTTACACCATGCAGAACTTTTTATGAAGAATAACTTTTTTCCTAAAATTAATAATAAAAAAGTTTTCCATATGATTCCAAGATACTGAGACATACTGTATATAAAAAAGTAGCCTCCCTGTATGTCTACTCTACTAAAAAAGGTGGTTTAAGTTTTTATTTTATTTGTAAGTGTTTTGAAAATAAATCGTTTTAAATTCCTAACATAGTGGTTTATTATCATCTGTATCTATAATAGATTAATAATATCAGTATCATTAATACCATAAAATTATTATTAACATTTAAAAAATCGTTGTATTGACTTAAGGGTAATTATTTTGATTTAAATCACAATTTTTGATTCAAGTAATTTTATTGACTTAACTCTGAGATCACGATTTAAATAAAAAATATAGACTTAAGTCATAAAAACGACTTACTAAAGGAATTAAGTCATAAGATGATTTAAATCATTTTAATTTGATTTAAGAATTTGCGAAAATGACTTGACTTGAAAGAAAATGATTTAATTCAAAGACTTAATACTTAAATCATTTGAACTTTATCTTAGAATTGACTTAAGATTTAAATCATTTTGATTTTAGAATTGACTTAGGACTTAAGGTTTAAGTCTTTTTAAAACTGACATGTTGCAGCTCTGGTTACAACCAAGGTTACAAACGGTGCGCGTAAATTAAAGTATAATTACAAAAAATACACAATTAACAACAATTAGGTAACGTCAAATTTACAATTTGCATTGTATAATTGTGCCATTTTTGTAATAAAATTGTTTAATTTTTGGTTGTGTTGTGTTTTGCATCACTTAGGTACATTTTGGGAGACCTGCACTTTCATCATTGATATTGTCTAAACTATCATGGGAAAAATCTATCTTTATCTATATACGTGATTTCAATAAAAATGTCGCTACCTGCTGGGCTAGTCGGTGTATTGCATAAAAAGGTTGACAGTTTTAAGCAAAGTTTGTTGAATTTAACATTTTAAACATTTATTTTTTAATGAAATGTGTCTTTGTCTTAGCTTAAAATAGTGTATTATATTCATTTGCGTCAAAATTTTAAAATTAAGTGTGTGATCTCTAAAAATGAATTAGTCAAAAATAACTATATGTAGTTGCGAAAAAGCAGACACTAATAATTATCGTCAACAGAAATTTGTATCCCGGATATTTGGCAGTCAACTCCTATTTTAAAAGTTATAAAAGTGGAACAGTTTTTGACATATAGTCAATAGGGTGGAGTGAAATACATGATGATAATCATATGCCTATATTGGCTGAGCAAAACACTTGATGGTAAAAATTTAATATGCCTATACCTATTGGAGAAAGTGGTGTCTTATTACCACAACTAACGAAAAAAATGATATTAATCAGGCAATGTTTGGAGGGTCCGCCATCTTTTTAAAGGTCAGAAGATAAAATCTGCACTTTAAAGAGGTGGCGCGCCATGGCGGACCCTACAAACATCCGATCAAAATATTTTTTTTTTGTTAATTGTGATAATAGTTCATTACTTTTTCGAATTTATATATTCGAAATTATTAAAATTATTGTCATCGGATGTTTGTAGGGTCCGCCATGGCGCGCCACCTCTTTAAAGTGTAATGTATTTTTCTCATCTAATATAGGCATATTAAATGGATGTATTTCACTTCACCCTAATAGTCAATTTTCCATAAAATATGGAATTGACTATGTCTTAAAAAGAGCTCTACTTTCCTAATTTTTGAAGCTCTTTTCTTGGAATGGTTCGACGATATTTGATAAAAAACCCTTTCCTAGTTTTTGCATATATAATTTTTTAATCCATTTTTAGCAAAAAATATTTTTTTATATTCGCGTTACGGAACATTTACCATAAAGGCTTATTATCTGAACCACTAATGATATAAACCATTTCATGAATTTTTATTTGTACTGAAAAAAATAAAAGTTATACTTACTACCTTGTGCCTTCGTTACATCTGAAAATGAATTATATTAGTACCAACATATTTAATTTAAATTAACTATAAACTATACTGCAGGGCATGCCCTACTATGGAGAAAGGCAGTAACTACAAAAAAATTCTTAATGCGTTTTCTTGTGCTATGATAAAGATATAGACATTTTGTATCTTAATTCAACTAAGAAATGCAGTAAATTATCTTATAGGTAAAATAAATCAGTTAAATACCTACTGCTTTTTATACAAATTTAGTTTATGCCAATTTTCCACAGATTTGTTGTTTAGCAGTTACTGCCTTTCTTTATAGTTAGGCAGTATACAGGTTGTATCAGGTTTAATAGTTAAATGTGTTTTGTCAAATATCTTAAAAAGTCTACAATTTGATAAAACAGGTATATTAGGTGTATAAGGTTATTTGTCTGATGTAACTGAATTACCAGGCCGCTGGGGCATCCACTCATTCATATATTTAAAGGAAATATACAAACATAAAAAAAGTTCATATGAATGTCGGTCCTTATATTTCTTATAAGGAATTCCATAGCTTAAGCTATGGCCGTCAAACTACTAGTTTCTATTTTATTTCTTTGCACCCTCTTAAGTTACCGGTGTGCGTCTTAGCGCACGAACTAATATCAATGAATGTCAATTTTTGATATTGAGAGTTAGCATAAAATTAATTTATTTATTCCCAATTTTATTATAATGTGTTATGTATACACAACACATTTTTTTCTTTCTTAATTTTTGATCAATGAAGTTCAGCATAAGTTGTTCTACCACTTAACCCTGGTCAAAACAAATAAACAGCCATACCCACGTGGGATTCGAACCCACGACCACTCGACTTGTAGTCCGCAGCACTGACTACTACACCACCGAGGGCGGTTTTGTTCCCAAAAATAATACTTGAAAAAGGACAACTTTGGTGATATGTTAAACAAATATTCGAAATATTCTCCAACACCAAAACAAAACACAAATTGCTTAAAGTACTTTTCGCCAATGAAGCGAAGTGTAACAGTTACACTTCGCTTCCGAAGATGCCAACATCGTTGGCGAAAAGTACTTCAACAACTGTGTTTGTTTTGGTGTCATATATCTTATATTTGCCCAAAAATAATCATTCCGAGGATATTTTTACAGATTAGTTTGGGAGTATACTCCATAGAAACAAATTTATTTAAACCATTGCATAAACTATTATCAAATTGTGTTTAAATTAAAACATCAAAGTTGTCAATGACAAACAAAAATTTGAAAAAGCATCAAGAAACCGATGGTTAACATTAAAATAATTGACATTGACGTTTTTATGATTTATCGAGTGATAAAGTGCCAAGTACAATTATTGTATTATTATACTAGTACTAGTTAGTCACCTTTGGATCGCCAAAGCGTTCTTATAAGAAATTGAAGGACCCTCATTCCAGATTTCTTTGTTCTCATATGTAGAATATTCCCTTGAAATATACAAACGAAGTATACAAGGTGTCCAAAAAATGGCACACTAACTGTATGCCACACTGTTGCAGTAGGGAATACCTAAAAATAGTTGGAAACAACTCATATGCACACGGAATTTGAAATTTTGGGTAAAGTCGGAACACTTAGGATTCAGAAACCGTTTTAACTTTTTTATGCTCGCCCTTTGGACCCTTTGGGTTTTGAGCTTGCTGGAATGGAATGGCAAAAAAGTGGCCAAAATTTATGAAAAAAAAACTAACAATATTATATTGTTTACCGAGCGTGGAATCATAGCAATTAGGTACTCCCGATGATTAAAGTTTCCGAGCGAGCCGATAGGCGAGTGAAGGAATTCATTCAGGGAGTAATTGCGATAACATGCGAGGTAAACACTATACTTTTTTTGAGTGGTACTTACTATTAGATGATTAATTTTTAGAAAATTAAAAAAAGTAACGTTTAAATAAAAACTGACGTTTACGTTCCTAAAGTCGTTTCAATTAAGTTAGTACCCTTACTTACTTCATATTATTTAAGTTAAAATCTATAAATGCTCACTTTCGCTGAAAAATAACAATTTGGGTAGGTACCCGCAAAAAAATCTTGTGTCAAAATTATATAAATCTGACGTTTACATTCAAAGTCAATCACACTGTAGCGTCGTCATGGTAGCGGGAGGGAATGGAACATTTCTTACCTGATTAGCGGAAGGGAATGAAAATATATACAGGGAAAGGAATAGGACTTTTTACAGGTGGAGAAATAAATGTCATTAATTATTAACAATTGCGAATAGAATCGGCGCATTATTAACCACTCGATAAAGAAGACAATTAATTTTAACCCACATTTATTATTTTAAATCCTACCTAAATTGGCTCAGTGGCGGCGATTTTATAAGACTTTAAATGATCAAAATTTTTATTATTTTAAAAACTATTTCAATTATTAATCTTGATTACCTAAACATTTTAATTTAATTGGATTAGCAGCGGAGATTTTAAATATAAAAATCTTGTAAAAGTTAATAATAATTATTGTACTATTGCGGCCGATAAAAAGTAATCGATTCTTTATCATAAGAAAAAATTGAACGTACACCTCGCCAAAGTTTTTGTTTTGAATGCGTTCCACCATCTTCAAATACCGACAGACAGCTGTTTCGACCTTTATTGGGTCTCATCAGTGTCGGGCAACTTGGTGTAGTGGAACACAATCAAAACAAATCACTCCCAGGGCTTATATGCTCGGCTGTTAAGTCAACAGAGGCGAGATGTAAGAACATCTGGTGATCCTCACCGTCTAACGACGTGGCCTTTGCCGCAATCGGTAGATACTATGCAACCGGGACTGCACACAGCAATTGTATCACAGATACTAATATGGCCTAAAGGAATCTAGAATTAACCCAACCGGGCTAAACATTAAGGTAAACATTCAATTTTCTTAGTTTCTTTAAGAAACTTTCTTGACCCATCACTGGAAATATTCATAAGAAAAAATTGAACGTACACCTCGCCAAAGTTTTTGTTTTGAATGCGTTCCACCATCTTCAAATACCGACAGACAGCTGTTTCGACCTTTATTGGGTCTCATCAGTGTCGGGCAACTTGGTGTAGTGGAACACAATCAAAACAAATCACTCCCAGGGCTTATATGCTCGGCTGTTAAGTCAACAGAGGCGAGATGTAAGAACATCTGGTGATCCTCACCGTCTAACGACGTGGCCTTTGCCGCAATCGGTACATACTATGCAACCGGGACTGCACACAGCAATTGTATCACAGATACTAATATGGCCTAAAGGAATCTAGAATTAACCCAACCGGGCTAAACATTAAGGTAAACATTCAATTTTCTTAGTTTCTTTAAGAAACTTTCTTGACCCATCACTGGAAATATTCATAAGAAAAAATTGAACGTACACCTCGCCAAAGTTTTTGTTTTGAATGCGTTCCACCATCTTCAAATACTGACAGACAGCTGTTTCGACCTTTATTGGGTCTCATCAGTGTCGGGCAACTTCAAAACAAAAACTTTGGCGAGGTGTACGTTCAATTTTTTCTTATGAATATTTCCAGTGATGGGTCAAGAAAGTTTCTTAAAGAAACTAAGAAAATTGAATGTTTACCTTAATGTTTAGCCCGGTTGGGTTAATTCTAGATTCCTTTAGGCCATATTAGTATCTGTGATACAATTGCTGTGTGCAGTCCCGGTTGCATAGTATGTACCGATTGCGGCAAAGGCCACGTCGTTAGACGGTGAGGATCACCAGATGTTCTTACATCTCGCCTCTGTTGACTTAACAGCCGAGCATATAAGCCCTGGGAGTGATTTGTTTTGATTGTGTTCCACTACACCAAGTTGCCCGACACTGATGAGACCCAATAAAGGTCGAAACAGCTGTCTGTCGGTATTTGAAGATGGTGGAACGCATTCAAAACAAAAACTTTGGCGAGGTGTACGTTCAATTTTTTCTTATGAATATTTCCAGTGATGGGTCAAGAAAGTTTCTTAAAGAAACTAAGAAAATTGAATGTTTACCTTAATGTTTAGCCCGGTTGGGTTAATTCTAGATTCCTTTAGGCCATATTAGTATCTGTGATACAATTGCTGTGTGCAGTCCCGGTTGCATAGTATGTACCGATTGCGGCAAAGGCCACGTCGTTAGACCTGCGTCTATTCGTCAGATAAAACAAAAATCTTGCACATTCTTTCTTAAAGTTGGCTTGCCTGAGACCACCAGGCTAAAAAAATAAGAAGAAGAAGAATAAAAGGAAGACGTTGCAACGCGTTGGTTTGTCGTTTGGCTAACCCCAAATTTTAAAGCTAAAAATCTTTTAGTAAGGAGTTTTTTCTAAGGTTCTGTGTTCTGTGAGTTAAAATATTAACCTTTATTTAGATTTGTATTATTGTCGGGCGATGTTAAAAGTCTAGGTAATTAATTAAATTTAGAAACAAATTTTAAACATTAAATTGGAACATTTCAGAAATATGGATCAAAAAAAGTGTAATGTTTGTGGAACTTCCTTCAGTAGCCTGTCCAATATGCGACGACATGTTCGCAAGTTTCATGGCGAGAAACTTTCTCCTAGTATATATAAAAGTCCATCAAATTATAAATTTTCATGCAGTCAGTGTGGGAAAAATTATAATATTGAATTAAATTATCAACAACACATAAAAATCCACACTAGTAACAATAATATAAGGAGTTCTTCATCAATAAATACCAAAAAATGTCCACTTTGTGACTACTTAAGTTTATCAAAGAAAGATATTTTGAAGCACTTTACTGTAAAGCATGAAATTTTAATAAAAAGTGAAAAATTGGAATTTTTGTTGGAAGACGATTTTAGTAAATGGAAATTAAAAATGGAATCTGAAACTTGTGCAAATTTTATTAAATGTGATACCATATCTTCAGGAAAAAATAAAATTTTATATTTTATGTGTAATCGATCTGAAAATTACACTACTAAAAATCACGGCAACGACACTTAAAAACCCAGGGTACAAGTAAAATAAATGCTTATTGCCCTGCTGCT